AGTCAGCTTCTGACCATCCTCAGTTTTTTTATTGGCTTCTCCAGCCATCTCCAAAAGACAATAAATGGAAGGTACAGCTCTTAAAATTAGAGGTCAATTAGATACTTAACGATGAAGCATATCTTCAAATATATATCTATTATTATTATGCTAGCAAAAAATTAATTAACTAGGTCAAGTAGGCCATGAAGGCTAATGTACAAAGTAATTATTTCTGATCTTTAGACCACTACTTCACATAAAAAGGTAGTCCTTTATTCTGCTCAGCAGATACCTGAAATGCCTGTAGTTAATCATACTGAAGGAAACAAAATGTAAGGTTTATCTCCTTAAAAAGTGAGAGGACATCTAAGTTATTCTGTTTAATGGTTTAATTGTAAATATTAGCATCTTTCTGATTACCAAAAAGGAAGAAAGGATAACACACATTTAATGATAACACTCTACCACGTGGCAAACACACAGACACATAAAATATATCAATAGCACAGAGGAATATATTATAATCCAAATAAAAAACATTGCATATGAAAGATAATCATATATGCTTAAGAACAGAGTGAAACTTCAATGAAGCAATGAACACTTGGTTTGAGTAAAAGAAAATAAGCAATAGGTATTTCAGCATTTAAAATGAAAAGTTTTCAGATAAGACAAAGAATATCTGCAAAGATGCAGCAATGGCATTTAGTTCAGGCCTCTATAGACAATTTGCCATCTAACGTGCATGTTAAATGATGAGGGGAGGGCAATGAATATTGTGTATTAATCATAAAGAAAATAAAGCACTAAAAATTTCAAGTTTCACAATTATACCCAAAAAAGGCATATGTGTAAGAATTGACTAAATCATTGGCTCTTGCCCAGAAAGCCAAATGCCCAAATAAAACCCCACCCAGCCAGTCCATTCTTAAGAGACTGTTGTTCAGTTCTGAGGTGAGGACACTGCTTATATAGCTCACAATACAAGCCACTTGAATTACTCTAAAATAGGAGTCAGAAGAGACACGAATAATTGGATAATGCTATTCATACCTGTAAAAGGAAGTTTCTCACAGAGATATTTTAATGAGCTGAATTCTTTTGCAAAGACTCAGTTCAAGCTACAAAATTCCATCGTTAAATGTGTTCCTATTGACTCGCTATAGAAACCAAAGAATGTGGTGTACTGGATCCATAAACTATATATTCTCCAGATTCAAACCATGGTATGGTCAAATGAGGTTAGATGAATAAATATATGAAAAAAATCAAGAAATGAGGATTTATAAAATATTTTTTTGTTTTGCCTAGAATTGTCTTATATTTAATCATTGATGAAACAACTGTCAAATTAATTAAAAGTGAATTTTGTTTACCAGTTAGTATAACTCAGAAGTAAAATACTTCGAAATATTAGCTAAGATACTACAGTTCAATGAGTCGGAGAGGGAGGATGAAATTACTGAAGCAGTTATCTTTCTTTGGAATTTCAGCCTAAGAATCAACATTCGCAATTCCAAAGATCCGTATTTCGTGACCTATTAGTTTTGCTTTCTGTAGACTTGGTTTAAAAAAAATAATGTCTTTGTTCTGGAAATATCAAAAATACCTATTTTTTTCTGGGCTGAGAATTACTTAATATGTAAAAAACTAGAGAAATCATCATTTTTCCCAAAGCACAGAGGGATTTGAATTTACAAAGCAAACATTCTCATAAAAGACCTAATATTAAGGTGATATTTTAATATCCATTCGTAATTATTATCCTGATTTATTAAAAGGTAAAAATGGACTCATCAAAACTATAAGAACAGTTCACAAAATCATTGATCATACTTTTCTAACATGGTTTACATGACTTTAGAAGAATCTATTTAAAAGTTTAGCTCGAATTTATAAAGGCAAAATAATGTTAAAAATATATTCAAGAAACAAATATAAATAAAATTGTTCTTAACTGCACATATAAGTTCTGAATAATTGCAAATAAAATAAACATGGGAAATTTTATAATAGTATCTTAATCATGCCTTTTCCTACTTCTAATGAAAAATCTTGTTTTTCAATTTGTGGAAACCATTCAGGTTTTCATTTGTTTCCATTATAATAGGCCCAGATGTGTTCGTGTGGGGTTGTTACAAGAGGTTAGGCACTCTTCCCTTTATTTCTATTAAAGCTTGCAAATTGGGGGGGAAAAACAGTACTGATTTAGAAGTCAGCATTCTGAACTACAGAAATGATTTTGAATGCAACCACATCATATTGATGACCCATAGCCAATTGCCATGATTTAATCTTGCTGACCATATTAGCTAATAGGTTCTAGGACTCAAGATACAAAAAGAAAAAAAGTGTCAAACTTGCTTATATTGTCTCTGTATTCATCATTTGCTTTTGAAAGAGAAGTTAGGTTTTATTTTTAATAACTTCAATCTTTTTTAATAATCTTGTTTTATCCTTTGTTCTGTTTTGTGTTCAAATGGGAAAGTGTTTCTTTTCTTGATAGAAAAAAAATGTTTGAAGCATCCCTTAAGTCTCATATTTTGCTCAAAAAGCATTTACAATGAACCCAACAATAATCTCTTTCCTAAATTTGATCAAATTTCAAAACCCATTCCCCTTCCAAAAAAAAAATGAAAGTCTGAATATCAAATACCTGTTTTGTGTCAGAGATGAATACATGTTGTGTAAGGAGTACATGATTTTCAGCATTTGAAAAATTCTTTGAATGGTGTCATATGTAGATGGTAAATACGGGCAAGATATGCCATGAAGCAATAGCTCAGGATAGAATGAACTATCAATACAGATCTTATTGCTTTCTCTTATTTTTTTTAAATTTAATTCATATTACAATTTTATATTTCTAAAGTGAATGTAACTCTGACATTTAATATTTTTATTTTATAATTTATACTGCTAAGATCAAGTGTTGATTAGTTTAAATTTAAAAAATTTAAATGAGAAATATCCACAAATTTTAAAAGCAATTAAACTTCTATTGTATTAGAAAACTTGAAAAAAATTACTCCTATCTTCTCAAATTGATGTTTCCAAATGTTCATTCCAATGAATGTTTTAAGATCATGTTCTATAGTTTTCTGAAACATATGTAGTCACTTTTTAACTATAAAATCATATATAAGCAATACATACTAAAAATATTTTGTGAAAATATTCTAAACTGATTTGGTTGCTATTCACCTGAAGTTTTCAGTGCCACAGGAAAACATCAGTGAAGACAACCAGTCAGTACAAACAGCACTGTACTAAGAAGTAAAATATATTAGAAAAGAATAAACAAGTAAGTTATAAAGAAGTAGTAAAAACAATAATTAACTGATATAAGAACACCTCAGGGAACTTCCTCCATTTCTGCTTTACAAATAGGAGAAACACAGAGAACTAAATGGTCATGTTATTTAACACCTACTGGGTTCTTACAGAGGGATCTACAGAAAAATGTAGGAAGCCACAGGCTAAAAATCTTGACCTGAGCAGTAGGAGATACACTGAAAATTCTAATAAGGGCAGAACAAGAGAACACCTGGACAGTTACTTAATTAAGGATCTCAGCATGAGCCATAAAGGAGATATCAGGATGAGAAACTATTCCAAGATGTAATTGTAAAGGCTGACTGTCAAAAATGCTAAAGACATTTCAACTCATCTATATTTAGACTTTTTATTTTGCAACATGTATACTTGAATATGGAATATTGACTAGGACAAAAACCAACAAAAAAGTTGGCCAAGACTTCCTACTGAAAATAGCTGGACAAAAACGCCAATTAGGTCAAGGGACTGCTTCCGATACCAAATTAGTATTTTAAGTGCAGTAACTACCTGGAACATTAAGTATAATAAACAAAAATGAAGAAGGATCAAAGGTAAAATCATTGTTATTCATCAATGAGGTAGAATATTGCAGTAAACTATGACTTCATGCTATTGATATTAAAAAAAACTATGGGAGGGCATGATATTAACCTTAAGAAAAGTAATAATATAATTTAGAATATGCTGGCCCAACTACTTTGAATCATAGATTCCAGCAGATTCTCTAATAACCAAGGGAAACAAGATTCTGTGGTAGGATACAGATAACTCTGTGAATAGTATTTCTGAGAATTAATTACTAGACAGCCAGTTCCTTATTCTAGGGCTTTCTAGAAGTCACACACCTATATTCCTATTTGGAAATAGAAACCATTTTCCTTGCCTATCTCAAATAGCTATTTATTGAATTAACTATCAAGTATCTAAAAGAATGACAGAAATCAGACCATCCTCTTTCTTCCGCAGACCACTGTAATTATGATCTATATTTTTACATTGCCATAAGAAAAAGGGATTTCTACACAATGTAGAAAATCCCTTTTTCTTATGGCAATGTAAAAAATGAATAATAATTCATAATTATTCAGGAACAAGTTTTTCTTCCTTTATATACTGTAAGCTCCTTGAAGACAAACTATCATTCATTAATCTCTCTATTCCCTTCAGCATCTAGAAGTAATGCAGTTAATATTTGTTAAGGATTATTAATAGCCTTTTTTCTAGACTTTTAACAGCCTTTTTCCAAATTATTAACAGACTTTTTCCAAATTTTTCTCATAATTGGTCCAATTAGTCCTAAAAGTAAATTAAAAGTAAGCTTCTCTCTACTGTACTATTACATGGAAAAATATAAAACAGAAAGTGGTCAGTGGTAATAAAAATAGCATCTGTATACTACCTAGGAAACCATTAGGTTCCCACTACGTAGTGTTATGCAAATGGAAAAAAGAAAACAGATAAGGGTTATTTTGCTTACACATCACATCAGAGAAGAATGCTTAGACCAACACCTAGTCCACATTTCTTACATTCACTTATAGAATTGTGTACAATATCCTTGAAAACAGCCCTATTGGTGCTGTTTATAAGACAGGGGTACATCTGCAGAGTTTTAAATTTCATTTTCAAGGAGGAAAGTATCTAAGTATAATCAGATGAGAGTAATAAAATACACTGACCTGGATCTGTTGCTGCAGGAGATTAATTTTGTGCTGCTGTTGCAGAAGTTGCTGCTGTTGTCTTGCAATCTATCAGAAATAAAGTTTCATTAAGTTAAAATGAAATGCTTACACCTCTGCCATTACCTCGGGTATTTCTCCTGGTATTACAGCAATGCTTTACTGCACCTCTATGTGAAAGAGTTCCTACAAAATGAGAGAGGTTGAATAAGAAAGATGGATGAAATGAAGAATTTTTAAACAAGTGCTATCTCTCTGCTTTATCTGTAGGAAAACTACCCCTTCAATTACATTTGTGAGCTATTCACCTATATCTGCACAGGTCAGTCAGAAATCATGGGAATTTAGAAATTTAATCTTTGTAGAATATAGATAGACAATTTCTGGCTACATTTTTCTAAATGGCTTAATTTGGATGTAAAAAGTAAAATCTGTAAGCAAAGACAGGAAAAAGCTTTCTATTACTGTTTAATATGGTCTATGTTAGCAAAACCTTTCCTGATACAAAGATTTTCAGAGCTGATACATTTACAAATACTGTCAAAGGAGTGCCAAAGAACACAGCAAAAAGTAAAAACTCTTTAGCTTTTTTTGTTGTTGTTGATGCTGTATGTGATGTACAAACTATTTTTAAAAACAAATTAAGCTATAATTTAACATTTACCCATTTATCCTTTTGAGGACAATGTGTTTATATTACAATGCAGGATCCATATACAAGTTTTATATTTCCTTGTTTCATCCAACAATCAAATGCAACATCTAAACAAATTATCTGCTCTATAAAAAGAAATGTTAACCATTTAATGCACGCCCTACTGATGACTGACTAGCTCTCGGGCGGTCAAACAGCTTCCTTCGGATAACAGTGTTTACTGTGAAGTATGAGTCAGGCATCAGGCTGCTTACTGACTCAAAAGCTGAGATGCTATAGCTTGAAGTCCAGGGAGATGATCCTTAGTGAGAACAGACTCACTGCCATCCTAGGAAGCCAGAGAGAAAGCAGCCAGAGAGTACTTAGAAGAACTTCGTTTAGTGGTGCCTTTTTGTCAAAAGAGTCTTTTTTTCCTAGTTCTTCCTACTTCCAAAAGCCAGTATTCTAGAATGCATTATGTTGGAAGTGAAAATAAGTGTAGATCAGTACCCAGCTATATACTTCCCAAGCCTTTTTGATGTTCTAGCCTATGCAGGGGCTGGGGAGAGAGTGCCCAAATTATATTTTATTCAGCACAAGATGATAACATAGAAGTCTGCTTCCAAATCTTGCTTTGTGATTTCTGATGACAACTGGTTCGTATTGGAAGCCATGATAAAGTTACACCTAATGTAGATTACAGTGTGAGAAATGGAGACTACTCCTTCCCAGAGCTTTATACTTAAAAAGGAAATAGTATTTAATCAGGTTCGAATAGCCCACTCTGCTTGTGGATATTCAAATCAGAAATGTACAACTCACTCTGCAGCTCTAGGTATAGATGCTGGATCCTCTGAATATTTATTTCCTCTTAGCAAACCAGTGAAACACCACTAGGCATCTAATATTGATGGTTCCTCCTAAATGATAAAGTGCTGCATAGAAATGCATCCAAAACACCACAGTGCAATTACTATCATCCACTCTAGACGTATGGGTTTGACACAGTGAAGTATGGTACATAAGCACCATGTGGCTCAAATTCTGAATTTTATTTGCCAATCGGTTGAGCTACATGCTTGCTTCATTGAGCATGACAACCTAGTTTTAAGTGTCATTTAATTTTCATTTTGAAATATAATTACAAAGTGTTCACTGTAAGATATCACTCGTCTGCAAATGTGTCAAGATTAATTTGTGCTAGCTTATTCACAAGTGTCAATAGTTAATTACTGTGTCATCTCTGGATGGCTAAATGACATTCTAACTTCTGATTTTTTACAGTGTTCCTTTATGTTATTTTCCATTAGGGGCTGAGTCCATATTCCTACATGTGGGCAAATATTCAAGCATATAAAATACCAGACATCACAACTCATTAAAATCAACAGAGCATATATTGCTCTATATACTCCTATAAAATAGATTTAACTGAAAAGATAATTCCTGTAATAATGTCAGATTCCTAAAAACTGCACATTAATTTGGATATGTCTAATCTAAAGCATCAGGTACTACTCTACAGGATCATTGTTAGATTAATGTACTCTTAGGAGACAAGAAAAAACATTTGGGAAAGTGATTTATTTTTAAAAAATAAACATTTAAATTTTGCTTTTTTTCCTTCATTCTCACTTCTAAGTCAATCAAGTCACATACTTTTAGGAACCATGTACTAATTTGTATTCAATGACTGACCTATGCTATAAATAGTGACCATAAGATATATCATACAAACCAAGACAACTTTCACAAGTAGAAGGAGGCAGGGTATTATTACTCTAGAAAACAGGCACTAACCAGGGCTATATGGGTAAAACTGAAATGTATGGTCACCTCTTTGGACTTTAAACCTGAAGAAAATCATTGGACCAATGAGCTTAAAGATTCCCAAAGTTTTTTCTGGAACAGAACCCCCTTTTCCTGGATGAGGAAAAAAAGGCCCAGAGAAAAGTCACATACTCACAGTGAAGGTACAGAGGGATTATATGTGATGTCTATCTGAGTAAGTATACCTGAGTCATTAAACAAATCCAAACCTGAAACAATGTATCGTTTTAATTATGCCCAGTTGCTATGATGCCTTTCTTCGTCCACATATTCCCTCAGTATTCTTGAAGACCCTCGATTTCCAGAAGGCTTCTTCGGTTGTTGTTGTTTTTTCTTATTTTCTTTTTATTTTTTAGGAAAGCTTACAACAAATAAGCCAATCAATGTGATTACTCTCTGAGCCTGGCACATTCCACATCTCCAGTTTGTCAGCGCCTTTTGCAGGGCTCACCTGTTCTTGCTGTTGGCGAGCAAGGTCCATTTGCTGCCGTTGTTTTTCAATTTGTGAGGCTGCCAGTTTTTTCTGTTCATCATGAGCTGCCAGAAGCTGCTCCCGTAAACTGATCAGCTGGGTAATCATGGTGGAGAGTTGCCGTTCTTTTTCTGCCAGGCTCTCAGGTGTACCTAAAATGGAAGCAAGAAGAGATCTCACAAGCTTGAGAAATACATGGACGAATCAGAGAAAGAAAAGCAGCATTTAGAAAGGGACTATCCTAAGACATTTAAAGATCTGGGACAATGACTGGAGGCCATTGTGGGTGAAGAAACACCACAGAGTAATTACAGCAGTGGAATGAATGTAGGTTCCTCACTGTTGCTGCCAAGAAAAAATATTGTCACTAGCAAAATTCTCACTCACTCTCCTCTCTTGATCTAAAATAAAGCAGACTGACCCCATTCTCTCCTTTCTGCCCCCAGTCTATCTGATCAAGCTAGAAAATCCATGATATTTAATACAAAATATCAGAAACTATAGATCATATTAATATTCTATAATCACCTCTAAGTTCAGCTACTAACAGTACCTAAGACATAGTAGACGCTTAATTAAAGTTACTTGAGGAAGATGGCGCTGTGAGAACAACCCAGGATTGGAGATCTCGTTGTGTCTGCGGAGAGGTGAGTCTCAGCTGCATTTCCAGACTGATCTTTGTTGCCCACAGAACGGGGAAATTCCCAAGTGAAGAGGAGATGCGGGACGCCAGGCAGATATTCCGCCTGGCAAAGCCGGCAGCCGGGGTGGCGGCGGCCGGCCCTACCCAGCGCTCACCACAGGGCGCGCTTGTCCGGGTGCCCCATTGAACCGGCAACCAGAGACGTGAGAGGGCTGGACTTGAGACTGAGCTAGACTTGGACAGTGGGCCAGCCCAGGGGATTGCAGGAACAGAGCGTTAGGGTTGGCTCAGTGGGACGAACAAAACCGCGATTTCAAACAAGCCCCGTGCAGACGGCCCAAGACGCTCTGAGGGGGAGGGGCGGCCACCATTACCGAGGCAACCCGCCCCAACTGAGATACACGCCCATTGCTGACGCAGCCAGCGTTGCCGAGGCAACCCGTCCCTACTGAGATACATGCCCACTGCTGACGCAGCCTGCCACTGCCGAGGCAACCCGCTACAACAGAGAGACTCCGCCACAGGGCGTGGCAGAGAACAGCAAAACAGCAGAGCCAGGGCGAGCCTCACAACAGCAGGGCGGAGCCTCGGCAGGCAAACAGTGGCTAGTCTGCGTCCTAGCTGGGCAGGACCTCGACGGACATCCAAAAATAAAGCCCAAACCCCTCAACACAGAGCATTTGAGAAAAAAAAGGGTTTTTTTAATGAGCTCTGTTGCAGCAGAATCAAACATAGCAGCCTAACAGCCCTAAATGAACAACAGAGCTCACAGCTCAGCAATTAAGCCCCTATAAAGTACAAACTGTCTCCTCAAGCAGCTCCCTGACCCCTCTATATCCAAAAGACTGACATTAGGCAGGCACCATCCTGGGACAAAGATAGCAGAAAAAGAAACTGGTAGCATCCCTCGCTGTGCCACAGCTGCTAGAGGTGCACCCCAGACAAGCAGGGTCTGAAGCGGACCTCAGCAGTCGTACAGCGAAGGGGCTAGACTGGTAGAAGGAAAACCAAGCAACAGAAATACTTCATCATCAACATTCAGGGTGTCCACTCAGAGACCCAAACGAAAAGTCAGCAACTATGCAGACGACCAGCGGACAAATCCACAAAGATGGGAAGAAACCAGTGCAAAAAGGAGGAAAACACCCGAAACCAGAACACCTCACCTCCTAGAAAGGACCAAAACTCCTCACCAGCAAGGGAACAAAGCTGGACAAAGAATGACTGCGATGAAATGATGGAATTAGACTTCAGAAGATGGATAATGAGAAACTTTTGTGAGCTAAAAGATCATGTATTAAATCAATGCAAAGAAACTAAGAACCTTGAAAAAAGATTTGAAAAAAGATTCGAGGATATGATAACAAGAATGGATAACTTAGAGAGGAATATGAATGAATTAAAGGAGCTGAAAAACACAATACGAGAACTTCGCGAAGCATGCACAAGTTTCAATAGCCGAATTGACCAAGCAGAAGAAAGAATATCTGAAGTCGAAGACCAACTCAATGAACTAAAACGAGAAACCAAGATTAGAGAAAAAAGCGCAAAAAGGAATGAACAAAGTCTCCAAGAAACGTGGGACTATGTGAAAAGACCTAACCTACGTTTGATAGGTGTACCAGAAGGGGACAAAGAGAATGAATCCAAGCTGGAAAATACTCTTCAGGACATCATCCAGGAAAATTTCCCCCACCTAGCAAGACAGGCCAACACTCAATTGCAGGAAATTCAGAGAACACCACAAAGATATTCCACAAGAAGAGCAACCCCAAGGCACATAATCGTCAGATTCAACAGGGTTGAAATAAAGGAGAGAATACTAAGGGCAGCCAGAGAGAAAGGTCGGGTCACCCACAAAGGGAAGCCCATCAGACTCACACCAGATCTCTCGGCAGAAACACTACAAGCCAGAAGAGAGTGGGGGCCAATATTCAACATTCTTAAAGAAAAGAACTTTCAACCCAGAATTTCATATCCAGCCAAACTGAGCTTCAGAAGTGAAGGAAAAATAAAATCCTTTGCGAACAAGCAAGTACTCAGAGATTTTGTCACCACCAGGCCTGCTTTACAAGAGCTCCTAAAAGAGGCACTACACATAGAAAGGATCAACCAGTACCAGCCATTCCAAAATCACACTGAATGCTAAAGAGCATCAACATAATGAAGAATCTACAACAACTAACAGGCAAAACAGCCACTTAGCATCAAAATGGCAGTATCAAATTCACACATAACAATATTAACCCTAAATGTAAATGGACTAAATGCACCAATCAAAAGACACAGACTGGCAAATTGGATAAAAATCCAAAACCCATCAGTGTGCTGTATCCAGGAAACCCATCTCACATGCAAGGATACAGAAAGGCTCAAAATAAAGGGATGGAGGAAGATTTACCAAGCAAATGGAGAGCAAAAAAAAGCAGGAGTTGCAATTCTCATCTCTGATAAAATAGACTTTAAAGCAACAAAGATCAAAAGAGACAAAGAAGGCCATTACATAATGGTAAAAGGATCGATACAACAAGAAGAGCTAACGATCCTAAACATATATGGACACAATGCAGGAGCACCCAGATACATAAGGCAAGTTCTTAATGCCTTACAAAAGGACTTAGACTCCCACACAATAATAGTGGGAGACTTTAACACTCCACTGTCAATACTAGACAGATCAACCAGACAGAAAATCAACAAGGATATCCAGGGCTTGAACTCAGACCTGGAGCAAGCAAACCTGATAGACATTTACAGAACTCTCCACCCCAAATCCACAGAATACACATTCTTCTCAGCACCACATCACACCTACTCTAAAATTGACCACATAATTGGAAGTAAAGCACTGCTCAACAAATGCAAAACAACTGAAATCATAACAAACAGCCTCTCAGACCATAGTGCAATCAAGTTAGAACTCAGAATTCAGAAACAGACCCAGAACCGCACAGCTTCATGGAAACTGAACAACTGGCTCTTGAATGTTGACTGGGTAAACAACGAAATGAAGGCAGAAATAAAGAAGTTCTTCAAAACCAATGAGAATGAAGACACAATGTGCCAGAACCTCTGGGACACATTTAAAGCAGTCTCTAGAGGAAAGTATATAGCAATAAGTGCCCATATGAGGAGAACGGAGAGATGCAAAATTGACACCCTATCGTCAAAATTGAAAGAGCTAGAGGAGCAAGATCAAAAAAACTCAAAACCCAGCAGAAGACAAGAAATAACTAAGATCAGAGCTGAGCTGAAGGAGATTGAGACACGAAAAACCCTTCAAAAAATCAATAAATCCAAGAGCTGGTTTTTTGAAAAGATCAACAAAATAGACAGACCACTAGCCAGATTGATTAAAAATCAAAGAGAGAACAACCAAATAGATGCAATAAAAAATGATAAAGGGGAAATCACCACAGATTCCACAGAAATTCAAACCATTATCAGAGAATATTACAAACAACTCTATGCACATAAACTAGTAAACCTGGAAGAAATGGATAAATTCCTGGATTCCTGTGTCCTCCCAAGCCTAAACCAGGAGGAAGCTGAAACTATGAATAGACCAATAACAATGTCTGAAGTTGAGGCAGCAATTAAGAGCCTACGACACAAAAAAAGCCCAGGTCCAGACGGGTTCACAGCCGAATTCTACCAGACACACAAGGAAGAGCTGGTACCATTTCTTCTAAAACTATTTCAAACAATCCAAAAAGAGGGAATCCTTCCCAAATCATTTTATGAGACCAACATCATCCTGATACCAAAACCCGGCAGAGACCCAACGAGAAAAGAAAACTTCAGGCCAATATCCATGATGAACATAGATGCAAAAATCTTCAATAAAATATTGGCAAGCTGATTGCAACAGCAAATCAAAAAACTTATTCATCATGATCAAGTAGGATTCATCCCAGGGATGCAAGGCTGGTTCAACATACGCAAGTCTATCAACGTAATTCACCACATAAACAGAACCAAAAACAAAAACCACATGATTATCTCAATTGACGCAGAGAAGGCATTTGACAAAATTCAACAGCCCTTTATGCTAAAAACCCTCAATAAACTCGGTATCGATGGAACGTATCTCAAAGTAATAAAAGCTATTTATGACAAACCAACAGCCAATATCATACTGAATGGGCAAAAACTGGAAGCATTCCCTTTGAAATCTGGCAATAGACAAGGATGCCCTCTTTCCCCACTCCTATTCAATATAGTACTGGAAGTTCTAGCCAGAGCAATCAGGCAAGAAAAAGAAATAAAGGGTATTCAAATAGGAAAGGTGGAAGCCAAATTGTCTCTATTTGCAGACGACATGATAGTATACCTAGAAGACCCCATTGCCTCAGTCCAAAAACTCCTGAAACTGATAAGCAACTTCAGCAAAGTCTCAGGATATAAAATCAATGTGCAAAAATCACAAGCATTCATCTACACCAATAACAGACTTAAAGAAAGCCAAATCAAGAGCGAACTGCCATTCGCAATTGCTACAAAAAGAAT